CGACATTGTACGGACTTTGTTCTACAAATATCCTTCGGTCTGATTAGAAGCTGTCCTTTTGAATCATTTTTGTGAGATGTTTAATGTGCGGTCCTTCTCCAATTTTGTTTCGTCTTTAGAGATTGCGATTCTGCTCGTCCTTGAGTGCTTTCTAAAACTCGTTTGGTCGTTTCGCTTTCACACGTGTCGCACAACAGATTGATTTTCACACGCACCACTTTTGAGTGCCGTCTGCTTTTTTATGTTGCTGTCTTCCGTGTGTGAGTTGCTTAAATCTCTCTTGGTTTCCCAATACTTGGGTATTTGGTGCCTCCTAGTGCCTTTGCTCCACTGGATTCCACTTGTAGGGTGGCCGTAGTGAGAGGAAAAGATCTTATCATCACATTCGCATCTAACTCTCCTCGGCTTCTGGTTTTTGTTTTCAGCATATCGTGGAAAAATTCACCCTCATCGAACGAGCGGGTACTCATTGTACGAGACCAGAAACCCAAACCCAGTTCTTCCATTGTTTGGTCCACTCGTCGTCGGCCTACCCTGGAGCCACGTCCTCCGCGTCGTCAAGTTTCCATCCAGAACCAAGAAACCCATCAAGCACTCCGCTCCGGCCTTGTTCCCCGTCGGTTTATGTCAGTCAAACATGATACAAAAGCACCGCACCTGCCCACCCATGAACCTTCTGTCCGCCGCACACTCGTGACTGAGATAATTCGTAGGCCGGCAATGCCCAGGCACCCTTTGACCACCGCACACGATTTAGGCAGTCCCAAAAGTTCCTCGTAGAAGCTTATGGTCTTCAGGCTCTGATCAACCGTCATTTCTCAGGAGTCCTCTTTGCCCCTCCCTCTCTCGTACAGATGACTGCCTACTCATCTTCCAGTTTATACCATGCTGCCTGCGCTCCTCATCGATTCGCTTCAGCGAGAGTCTTCGTGCTTTCCGAGTCAACTTGCCATGCCTGTTGTCTCATTTTCCAACACTCATTGAACATACTGCTTGTGTCGTGCCAAAAATATCCCAAGTTCCCGCTCATTCTGTTCTCCGCGATTCCGTCCCAAGACATGTACTCTCTCCTATCTTCACCGATCGTGTTTCTGCCGCAATTTCACTTTCTACCGGTTCAAAAAAAGCGCACGTCTTTTCGTTCGTTGCATCAAGTACTGCTGCTCGCCCATTTCACCAGAATTTCCACGTTTTGTGTTCTCTTTCTTTCTCTTCGGTCTCTAATCATTACCACTGATTTATTTTTGTAATGCATTATATACCGGTTGCCGTTTATCGCTCGCTCGTACATCCGGATTATTGATCACCATGTGTCTTCTTACAAACTGGCTCAGTGTCGTTCCGGAACCAGGCTGGGGGTTACTCAATCCTAAATGAAACATTGTTCCACTCAGTTGGATGCTTTCAGGTTTGGTGACCCTCTTTGAAGTACTTTCAGCTACATACTTGACTCGGTCTGTCTACCGTGCGACAAGCGAACGTAACCGCGCCCCCTACAGGCTGTCACAAACGGGACAGTATTTCCGTTAGTCCTCTCCAAATCAATCTGTGTAATTGTAAAGACTTTCATGTACTATTCGCATGATGATGGACTCATCGATATGGGAACTCCATAGTCTACTTCTCGGTGTATTTCTTAGAGAAAACTTCTAGGATGGACAACTCTGAATCATTTCTTCTGGCTCGAACCACGAGGCGCACTCTGGTTTACATTTTCATTCGAATACGAATGTCTCGCGTCAAAGTATAGAGGTATGATTTCAGGCTCTCAGGTTAGCGTTCAGACGCACTGAAGCCTAATACGTACTTCACTGAATAGCTGTCGTAAACTTCGTGATCAAATTTGTTTGTCCTTTTGGGTAAACTGCTTGAATTCCACACTGATATTCACACAAATGTAGGACTGCTTAAACTATAGATATCTTCGGAATAAACGGTGTGGAAGGATCTAAGAAGCGCATGCTGGCTTAACAATCCTAGTACTTCAGTCTTCCGGAGTGTCAGGTGCGTAAATCATAGGCGATCATCGCATGTTCGCCAATATTGATACTAGTCGTATGTCTTGGTTTTGAGGCCAGTGGCGTGGTTACTGAGGTGGACTGAAGCTCGGTGAAGCCCCAGTGTCCTCTGGTGTTGTTGACGGTGGTGGCGCTGATGAAAACTGGTGCTGGAAGTTCTGTCGGGTCGAAAGAAATGTCTTGCCTCCTGTGACAAATCCCATAAACCGGCATGGTGCTGGGGATATGTTGAACTCAGGAGTGGTTTATCAGCCAACAAACTATATACTCTGCTGGAAACCCACCAACGGTGAAATCAGGCTCTAGATGATGATGTTTGTATGGGTAGGCTGAAATGCTAAACCTTTCAGGGTCCGTAAACCAAAGTGCAAATGGATCGAGTGTAGCAGATCTCGGAGGAATGAAAATGCCCAGGATGTTGCCAGGTCTGAAGGCGGCTCGTTTGTCCGTTCTCGAACCACCAGCAAGTGAAATATGTCTGTTGTGCTGGCCCGAATGTTGCTAAAGTCCACTGATATATCTGACGGAACTAAATCAATCGTTTGACACAACAGTACAGGCCACAGAATTTTCAACAAAGGCCCCCTACCTGCCTCACACTCTTTAGGGTTCATCAGGCAATCTTAGTCTTGCAATTGTCGTCACCCTTATGTTCTTCTTGAACGTTAAATTTCACTTCATTGGTGATATACAAATCGACTTCGTGCAATGCGCGCCAGGTGCGACACTAAAAAATCTCAAGATTAGCAAAGGTTCACAAAGAAATATTAAGGTCCAAAACGAAGCCAAGGACACCTGTACAACGCTTCATATAAACAGTGTAAGCGGTGACAAATTTCTGGAAATTTTGACGCCTTCTGGATGCGCCGTTGGCAACCGGTATTCGGTCATTGCTGAATCATGATTGGTTGTTGGGTCCATAATTTCAACCAATCAGACCTCGGCTTAAAGACGGACCGGCAAGCCTCCCAAACTTTTGGCCAATCTTGCGCGGGGTAGGCTTCTCGGCCGTAATAGCACCTGATTTCGAGCGATGAAGCGGGGTCCGTGCGGAATTCGGCCTAACATGAACAAACACATCGAAACTCATCAACCACGTCGTGCCCTTGATGCATGCTTGTGTCCCTATCTTTACTCTTGCCACCGGAGTGTTTAAAGGGTTGTTGATGCCAACAAATATCGAGATGCCCCCCATGTCAACTTCATCAGACAATGCGACAGAGTTTTTCATGAACGGTCCCCCCCCTGAGCATCGTGTACCAGATCGTCATGCAGGCGGAACGGAAGCAACGCTAGATCCGTAATATATAATGATGTGCCAAGTGGTAATTGCCCACGAAACGCGACCAACTTTTGACTCCGTCTGACGACACCTTTTTAGTCATCCGGTGAGCACCTTTCGGTCGTTTTGGGTTCAAGGTTCCCTGCTGTGAGAAGGGCTCTGATGTTTGTTTCATGGGCACTGATTCTTTTGCTAAGCCAAATAAATTATTTAAAATTCGCCACCATTAGTCAAGCTGGCGAATTGCAAGTGATGGTGCATTGCTGACGTTGGGCGTGCGTGGTCTGAGGTAAAGATCGACTAGGCGGACCACTCTTCAATGGTCATTGGCTGTTGAAACGATCGCCCGTAATGACCTGGTGGATCAGTGCTAACCCGAGTGGCTGATATCCGGTTGGCCCTGAGACTTGTCGCGTTTGGCCCCAAATCGACTTTTTTTCGGGTGTTTCTAGAGCGAATCCTCTTCCATGGCTCTGGGTGGGTAAGCGAGATTGCACCCTGCTGATTAACTGAATTGTTCACAGAATGCTCCGATTCTGGAATTTCCTTCAAAAGTATTGTATTTTCAGCTGCCATGGCATTTAAGCGTTGGAGCTCCAGCTTGTACATTCTTGTTCCGCCTGCACAGGAATAAGCGAAGGGGGGTGGCTGTTTTACTGTTCTGCAACCTCCTAGAAAGTGTCTCCCAGTACTCCGAATATTCCATTTTGGTATCGTTCTTTTGGTATCGTTCCATTGCCCTACTACCAAGTTTTGAGCAGTCAGGCGGAACGAAAGCAGTTCATTCATCCACTAGCTAAACCGAACAAACGATAGGCTCAAAAAATATCGCTTGAGGTCTTCAAAGGGACGGCGCCGTGAGACTGCTAGTACCTCAAATGCTAGAAGCTCAGCTGCTCAAATAATGTATTAACCAGCCGCTCACAGTTACATTTCGGTTCAGTATGGTATTATGTGAATTAGAGTTGCTCAGTACGCGGTTGAGTTCAAAAACCTGGGTTTGTCACTGGTACTCCCCTTTCCTTTCTTCCATCACTGAACACACGGCACCGTTTGCGCTAGTTATTTTGTCTTCTCAGCTTTTGAGACCTTTGTGTATTATTGGGAGGCAACTGCAACACAAGTCTTACAGACTATAGCACCAGTATAGTAACGGTACTTTCCTCAGCTTAGTTATCGGTCTGAGCCTTACTTTCCTCGCTTAGTTATCGGTCTGAGCCTCCCAAGCTAGCGTTCACGTCAAACAACCATCGAAGGTGCACAAGGTCTATTAGTGCCAAAAACGAAGTCAAGAACAGTTGTACAGCGCTTCGTATATATAGCGTTAACGATCATAACTTTCTGGAAGTTCTGACGCATTCTGGATGCGCCATTGGCAACCGGCATTTCGCCAATACTGGGTCATGATTGGCTGTTGGGCCCAGATTGTTGGCCAATCAGATCTCGTCTTGATGCCGGACCGGCAAGCGTCCCGAATTCTGGGCCAACCTCGAGCGGGCCAGGCTTATCGGCCGTAGCAGCGCTTAAAGACGTGCGGTATAGTGGGATCCGCGTGGCTTCCTGCCTTACACCTCCCACTTGAAGTTTGTTGACGTAGCTTCGAAGCCGGGATTTCACTTCCAGTGGCCTCACTGGCTTGCGGATCCTGTCTGTCCAGCGTCGCGGTTGTAATCCGTGCTCAGGCTGGGCCCCTGACAAAGCAACTGATTGACTTTCTGGGATGGTGCTAGGATCAAAAGTGTCCAGAAGCATTTTTAGACTCATATCACTCGGTCCTGTGGGCAGGATCGGCGCATCAGTCGGCCGGATTTGGTTCGCTTGGCGTATCCACTTGGCTGGACCAACTTGAATCTCGTAGAGCACTTTGCCGCGCCGGAGAAGGATGATTCCCGGGGCCCACGTAGGGCGTCTGCCGCTTTAGTCACGAACCAACACTCTCTGGCCTTCGCTGAATGCGCGCGCAGTTGCTCCATGATGCCGGTTGAACTGTTCCTCCATTCTGGTGT